ATCGCTATAATTTATTTATATATTTTAATGTAATCAGCTTTACAAGCTAGCCATTTGCTTTATCTTATTTTTTCTTCCATCGAACCATGTAAACAACCTTTTCGTATTCAATTCTACATTATTATCTAAATAGATATTTTTCTCAATACAGGCTTTTACAAAATCCCGTCTTTTCCAATCAGCTTGTTTTTCCGAAAAAAGGTTTTCAAGTTCACGTCGTATAGTAACTTTAGATGAAGATGAGTTGACGATTTTATTACTCTGCTTTAAACCATTTAAAACATAGTTAATATTTTGCTAATTCGGAATTATTATGTAATTTATTTAGACTTACTCGTTTGTTAGAATTACGTCTACGGCTTCTAATTGCTGCAGTTCTTCGTTTCTGAACCGATGGTGGCAATGGACTTAAAACTGATACTTCTGCATTTGTAGCATTAATTAGAGAGGCTTCGTTGGTTTCTTCGATATCAACATCATCGATTTCATCAATTCTTTCAACTTCAACTTGCTCCGGGTCTGCTGCTATTAATAACTCTGTTTCATCATCAACTAACATTAAGTTTTCATTATCAACATCATTCTTAAAATTTATAAAATAAGTAATTAACAACTATATATTGTTAATCGAATACATCTTGTATAAAAATAGATTTACAATACTTGCCTCCTTATCGTTATTAGTTGTTAATTCATTTAAAAAACGACTAGGCTTTCTTGGCTTAGCACTAAGTACCTTAGGAGTCCCTACATTTGATGTTCTTCGCTCAGATAGTTCAGAATGTTATTATCAACTTACTATAAATGATGACTTGTGGCTTTAGCAAGCACGTGATTTCGGATCATTTTGCTTTGGAGTTGACAGAAAATACGACTTGAATAGTAATAGTGCATCAGTATTGTCTCTTGTTGTTGAAGACTGTGTAGGGTATAGGATACCAATTGCATTCGGAATGTCAAATAAAGAAAATAATCATACAATTAGACTTGTTGTAGAAGCAGTAAAACAAAATATTCCTTATAATAGTACTAATTGTACACATGAGTATTAGTATATAAAACTGACAAATAGTAAAGGATTTATGAGAATTCGTCATTGTGCACAAGAGTGGCACCCATATACAATGATTGATAAACACCGTCCAACAAAGTGAGGGCTTTAGCCTATTCTTTGTAGATTAATTTTATGTTGGTTTCATATTATGCAAACACTTGGGGAACATCTTAAAGATTTAAGAATTGCTGATCATTATCGATATCCAATTGCTATTGCATTTAAGGTTGTAGGTAGAAGCAGAAGTAAAGAGGAAGCTATAGAGCTTGGTCATGCTTATGAATTATTTATTAGAACTCTACCACTTCCAGAAATTACTAAAGAATATTTGTGCAATGATATATTTGCTAATTGGTTATCTGAAGAATGGATTGATTGTTTTATCGATAGTGGTCGGTTGCCTTCTATAAATGATTGCTCAGGTGTAAAACCTATGACTACAAATAATCTTACAAAACGAATAAACAAATCAATTGAAGGCAGACGTGTAAGCACTAGAGCTGCAGGTGAAACTAAATCACACTGGTGAAACTGGTGACTATCTAAAATCTAATTGGCTATTGCATTCAATAGCCAATCAGATTTTAGATAGTTACCAGTTTCACCAAATTTTACCAAGTTTCATCAGTTTCACCAGCAACTCTAGTAAGCACCCAACCAATCAATAATTTCATCGAAAGATTATATGGGATTAGACTAATATGAGATAATATTATTCAGGAAAATTTTTTACAATTTATATTTGAAGCTGGTCAAGTAACCTATTGGAATGCACATATTATAGAACATCAAGCATTATCATTTAAACAACCTGCAGATGTAAAATAACGTTTAAATCAGGGACAACTGTGTTTTACTTTATTTAGTAAAACCTGTAGTTGGTGAAAATGACTTATATTTCTATGTTAAAAAAGGAAATAATAA